AGAGCTTCTTCGAGGATTCGATGGACTTCTCCAAGTCGGCGTGGTTTCCGGTCACCTCAAAGCGCTGCCGTAATGACGCACCAAGATCACTTAACACAATTACGCCCACAGGATGCGGGGCGGGATAGAGCGAGAGGGCCTGGCGGAAATATCCAAGAGATCTGTCCACATCGTCTACCTGTTTCGTATGAGCGGATCGCTCGCGAAAAGTAATCGCCATGTTCCGAATGAGCGAAGGGTAAATAGGAGACTGGGAGGGACAGAGAGCAATTGCATCCTGGAGGTAGGAGATAGACTTGTTAAAAACCTCCAGATCCCCTGTTTGTTCAAAGACACGCCCGAGAGACTTCCAAAGCTGCTCCAGTATTCTGTGTCGGTGAGGGTGTACATGCGAACAAAGTAACAGAGCGGCACGGGCGGACCCCACGCTCTGGGTGAGAGCGTCTGATTCCCCGCTTCCGCAGAACCAAATCTCCGACGCTACTGCCAAGTTAAGGAGCAAGTCAGGGCGAGAAACAGCTCCTGGTGGGCATAAGGAAAGAGCTTCCCGCATGCAGGTGAAGAAGGTCTCCAAATGCTCCGGGTTGTCGCTTTCCTGGTTTTGCACAAGAGCAGACAAAGCAAACATACCCAGTAGGGAAGGGCGGTGGAGGTTCCGAGGAGGGCAAGCATCCAGTACGCTCTGCACCAATTCGACGCTTGGATACGGCACGCCCTGTTTTCTGGACAGAACTACATCGAGGAATAAAGTCGGCCCGACAAACAAGTCCAGAGACGCCAGTGCTCCCGCCGTGAAAGATGCATGACATTCCCGAATGTACTCCATCGACAAGTTGAAATCCTCGTCCTCTCCAGCATATCCGAAGCGCTGACCGAATGAGGAGGCCAGGCTGTTGAGTATCATTGCACGGCTTGGCGCGTGCGGATCGCAGGTGGACAGCGCTTCTTTCCCGAGAACTATGCTTTCTTCCAGGTCCTCGAGAGCTCCGTAAGACATAAAGCGGTGGCGTAGAGCGTCTGCTAGTCTGCCGAGAGCTACAGCACGAATCGTGGCTCCGGATGAAAGCGGTTCGGCGACTTGGCGGAGAGAGGCAACACTATCCTCTATGTCCTCCCGTCTGCTGGCAAACACGAAGCGGGTCCATTTCGCAACGGCCAGGTTGACCACAGAGAGAGGGCGGTCGGGGCGACCCTGCGGGGAAAGTGCGAGCGCTTTATTTCCATATTCAATACTTTTCTCTAGATCCTCTTGCCGTCCTTCGTGAGTAAAGCGGGTAATGAGAGCAGGAACAAGGATGTCAAGGAGTACAAGGCGAATGGGCATTGCGGGAGAGCAGTGGGAAAGGGCCTCATAGGAGAGCGAGACCGATTGCGCCATGTCATCCAGCTTTCCGGTACATTTGGAACGAGTGAGAAGCCCGGCAGCCACCGTCGCCAGAGCTTGGGGATAATCAAGATGTCCCGCAGAGCAAAGGGAAGCGGCTTCCTGTGCGTGTCCGATCGCTTCCTCCAAATCACCAGATTCGCCTAAATGCTCATATCGAGAGAGCAGCGATCGCGAGAGCACATCCAGTGACATGGGTCGGGCTGGCGATTCCGGCGGGCAACATGAGACGGCTGCACGAGCATACTCTATGCATTGGTCCAACTGGGTAGAGAGGCTCGTCTGCTTGAAGCTGCTGAGCAATGGTGCGGCAAGAGTCACAAGAAGGGTGGGTCGATCGTGACTGTGGCGCGAGGGATCGAATAGTGAGAGGGCCTCGCGGCCACTATCGATAGAGTCGGTTAAATCCCTGGGATCTCCAGTGTGGCAGAAATGGATGTATAGTGCTCTGGCGAGCGATAATACGGAAATATAGCGGTCCGTATGACTAGGGAGACGGAAGAGGAGCGCTTTGCGATGGAGGGATAATGCCTCTTGCACGTCTGCTGGCCGGCCAATAAGCTCGAATCGACAGAGGAGCAGCTCGGCAAGGGAGTACAATAATGCGGCGTCGCGATCATCTGTCGGAGGCGAGAGTGATAAGGCTTTGCGTGCGGAAGTGATGGCGTTCTCGATGATTTTGCGATTGTATGTACGGGCGAGACGGGCAAATAGAGCAGATGAGAGTATAGTTAGGAGTGCAACTCGATTTTTACCAGCGGTAGGTACACAGGAAATGGTCCCAGGCGCCGTGACAACGGTCTCGTCGTCCTCATCAGGAGGTGGAATATTAAAAATGAGATGGCGGAGAGCTCTGAGGCCAGGCCATTGTGGAAGGTGTCGGCCCACCAGTAGGAAGTTCTGGAGATCTTCCCACCACATGATCGCTCGTCGTAGAGATATAGCTTCACCTGGCCAGTGAGTCGGGTCAGTACTGGATGTTCGAGTAACGGCGGCACCAAATAGCAGTGACCTAGGCGTCTCGAAGCTTGAGCTCTGAGCCAACTATGGAGACAAGAGTCAGCCCGGGATATATAGCACAAGTTGCATGTTGCCGCACTGGATAGGCTATCGAGCCCCCACCAGACACCAAATCTGAGCTTCTCGGTCAGTCTACATCGCCAAAGGCATGAGAGATGGGACGCAGAACGACTTGCAAGTAATGGAATACTGGTATGTCTTGTTGGAGGCGAATTGGGCTTGTGTCAACTTGTGCCTTACCAAGGTTATCAGTAAAAACACCCCGCTCGTCAGAGATACGGTGGATATGCGGGGCGATGTGCCGGTTGTGTGAAGACGAGGACAGGCAGACTCACTTCGCAGGCTGATTCGAATCTTGAGTACGATAAAGGTAAGTGGATGAGGGCAGAAGACGAGATGCTGAGAGCAGGCTGTGCAGTGCACACTTCCTAGCCTTCCCTGCACAGAGTGATCCCACGGAGTTCTTCATGTCTTCCCTGCCAGCGGCAGATGGACCCTGGATTTCAAACCTTGCGTCCATGCTTGGGAGAAGCGCTGCCGCTGGCGACGACTCAAAGGCTGGAACGCACGAAGATTATATTCGCAGGGCTGTACCATGCCGGTTGTGTCAGCACATCGCCGAAAAAGTCGTCAAAGGAGTGTTGAGCTGAGCGAGTATTGTGAGACTTATGTCCGAGGCGCCGGCCCGATGATCCACGGAAGCGCATCAGGCGCCGCGCCACCCCGAGGCAGCCGCCATGCTTGGGTGTGATGCGCCCAGGGCGCTCTGATCGCTTCTTGGTAGGCTTGTACAACTATCATATCATAACAATTCACGCCCGTCAGGTGAAGACGTGCTTACAAAGGTCCGATTATACATGCATATATACGAAGTGAGAGCAGCTAATATATATCACATCCCGAGCTGTGAGTCGCTCACCCAGTGAGAGCCGCCACTGCATCGGTACCCACCCGCTTGCTTGATCCACTCGTAGCCCACAGGGCAAACTCCCATCTGTCGGAGCCTCTTCTGAGCTCTCTGTTCCTTTTGGTACTCCTCTAATTCCTCCTCCCGTCGCTCTTCGAACTCTCTTTCCTTCCGTTTGCGCACGTTGTCTTCTGTGAGTCGCTTGACGCACTGCTCCTCAGGGTCGCGCCCCTGCAACGAAGCTGAGGTCTTTTCTCGATAAGTGGTAGGTATCGATGCCTGGGAAGCGGGTTGTGCCGT